CCCCTGTCATGCTGATCCCGGTGCCGGGAGGCCTCGCGGCTCCACTGATCCCGGTGCTGGGAGGCACATTACCCTTTTACTATACAGGGTAGAGGTCTGGTGCACGGGTGGGTGCCAGCTCGTTTGCCCTGAAGGGTGTCCTGGATCAGGGTGGGGGTCCCCACTGGGGTGCCTGGCTAGCCTGGATGAGGGGATGATGGCTGTTTGCAGCTGGTCACACACCCTTCAGGGTGGGGGTCCCCACTGGGATGCCTGGCCAGTCTGGGTGAGGGGCTGAGGGCTGTTTTCAGGCTGGGGGTGACTGAACTCCAAAACGCTCCTTTTTTCCTTTTTTTTTTTTTTTTTTCTGGGCCAGCGTTAGCTTGAGGCTTGGCTCCAGCTCTTAGGCCTCCACTCCTGAAAGTAGGTTTCTGGCCTTTGCATACAATGTTGCGAATCTGCTGGCTGAAGTCCGGCTGTATTTGTTAAAATGTTTCAAACTGCAGGCTCAGAGGCCTGCAGCCGCAGGCGGGGAACGTTGGTTTCCTCCGTCACTGAGGCAACCAAGCCTCATGTTAGTTTCAAGCTGCCTGGCTGCCGGCCGCCATCTTGGCTGACAGTTAATTTGCATATCTCACTGATTAGCCAATGAAAAGGGTAGCAGTCGTACGCCAATTACCATGTTTCTCTTTTATTAATGTAGATGGTAAGAATACACTGTAGATATCTCACATGAAAACTGAAGTCACAGAAATTATTCAAATTCCTCTTCATAAAAAAGAAAAATGAGTGTTTATTTGAACTTTGTTAACATTGTGATGAAGAAGCATCATTGAAAAGAAGCCATATGTCATTTATTACTTTGCAGCCCCGCATTTTCAGACTATTCATGAGGCAAGTCATCTTTTTATTCCTGTATATTCATATAATACATAAAAGAAAATTCAGAGGCTTATTGTGCAGGTCACTTTTTCATGGTGATGTTGAGTGTTTAAGGCCTGGTGCACAAATTCATGCACAGGTGGGGTCCCTTGGGGTAACCTGCAGGGATTGGACCCCAGCTTGTGCTCCCAGCCTTGCAGCCCTGCAGCCCTGCCTGGCACCCTGCCATCGCCTGGTGCTGCCTCCTTACCTGCTCCACCATCCCGCCTGCGAGATGATTGATTGGGGCCAGGCCTTCCCGGCTCCCTCAGTGCCTGGAAGCTGGGTGGCAGCCCTGCCACCTGCTGGTCACCATCTGCAGGGCGATTGGTGAGGCGATCAGGCCCCCACTCACACCTGCTTTGGCCTGGTCCCCACTAACACCCACCTTGGCCTGGTGCCGCCTGCTCACTTGCTCTACCATCTCGCCGCAGTTTTGCTCTCATCAGGGCCCATCAGGGCTGGCAGCGCCTCCACTGCCACCTGCTGCCAGCACTGTGTCACCAACGCCCACCGTGTTCCTCGCTGCACCCTGGTGGTCAGCGCACATCATAGCAAGCAGTTGAACCCCTGGTCAAACAATTTGCATATTAGGCTTTTATTATATAGGAGGTCATAGGTAGTATATACAAATGTGACTTTTAAAGGGGGAAGGAATCATTTGTTTCTCTGCTACTCTTACCTGTTGTGGTTTAGTTTCCAACTTTCAATTCACCTGTTTTAGTTTGTATTCTGCATGTAGAAGTGAGAATTATTACTTGTTAAGAAAGAGATAAATGTATTATGGTAAGTAAATGGTAGATTTTGTAATTGATATTATTGTTGTCTGTTTACTTGAAAATATTTGCTTTTCATGAAAGTTTGTATCAATACTTGCAGGTGGTAAGAAATTGATAGTGTGATTAAAAACAAGAGATACCCCATCCATCTTCAGGAGCAACCTCTTTTAATCATTCTTGGTTAGTTCTTATTCTACTTCCCTGTATTATTACTAAAAATTATGGAGGTAACTCTATATACTGTGCTTATACATTGGTTTCCAAAATTTATCACCTTAAGATAATTTCATTGATTCTAATATAAAAGATGAGGATTTAGTTAATTTACATTGCCTTCTTTCTCCCTCTTCTCGATTCTCAATATTTATATTTTAGTTTATAGTTATGTTATTTTTTTGGCAATTCTATTGGTTTCCATTGTGGGATTTGAAGATCAGAATTATTTTCACAAGTCTTCCTAAAACTAAGTCTTAGTGAGACCACAAAGAACCCTCACACTTCTCCCAAAGCTTCTAAATAGTGATTCCTTACCTAAAAGTGGCTGCCGGTTTTATCTGGAAAGGCCCACAAACCAAGCATCAGTAGAATAGGGATACTTTTGGTGTCTTGTTGCCTGAAGTAAGGCTGGTGGGTTAGGAAACTACTTTCTTTGTACCTTTGGCCAGATCTGATCTCATGCTTGATAAGAGCTGTGAGCCCCCAACCAGCCTCAGTGGCTTGGTTTGCCTGGATAGGCTTCTCCAGAACTCAGGAGAAGCCAAGATGCTTGAGTTTCCACCTAATCTTGCTGAGGCTTTATCCAGAACATGCATTTGTTGTGTTTTCTCTCAAGGAAGACCTCTAACTGGATCTCATCCCTTTTATTTTTATTGAAAGTTATGTCAGTGTGTGTGTGTGTGTGTGTGTGTGTGTGTGTGTGTGTAATCAAAAGTCGGATGCACATCTATATATATAAAACCTAATCGACCATTGCAACCGAACAGACGACCGAAAGGCTGCGTGGGGCAACCAGGCTGGCGGGGGGGGGGGGGGAGGTCAGTGGGGGGCAACCAGGCCAGCGAGGGGGGGGCAGTTGGGGGCTACTAGGCCAGCAGGGGGGCATTTGGGGGTGACCTGGCCAGCAGGGGGGGCAGTTAGGGGCGATCAGGCAGGCAGGCAGGTGAGCAGTTAGGAGTCAGTGTTCCCAGATTGTGAGAGGGATGTCCGACTGCCAGTTTAAGCCCATACTGGTTGGGCCTAAACTGGCAGTCGGACATCCCCTGAGGGGTCCCGGATTGGAGAGGGTGCAGGACCCCCTCCCTGCCATGTATGAATTTCATGCACCGGGCCTCTAGTAGGTTGATAAATTACCAGATTTTTGGTTTTGTTTTTTAGTTATAATTTCTAGTCTCTGATATTATATGCATGGAGCCTTTTGTTGGGTGCTTTTGCAAAACTGATGCTGATAATCACAACATGAAGCAAGTCTTCCCAGTATATGGGCATGTTTCCTGTATAGATTACCAAGTTGACTCTAGTAAAAACAAAAAAAGAAAAAAGATACCACTCTAAAGCCAGACAGTAAACAGAGGATTTTAACCAATCATAGTCCATCATGCCACCTTTATAACATGGAATTAAACAACAGAAGCTGCCAGAAGCCTGATGACTTATATTTGAAATTCACAGAGCACCTCACTATCCATCCTCCTTCAAACCAGCCACATACTCAGTGTGGCATTGTAACTCCCTAAACGAATGAGCTATTCCAAAGAATTATTGCTGATGTTGATAGCAATTCCAAATAGAAAAGCTGGCTTGTACCTTGGAGGAAAACCGTTAGTAATGGCCAGTTTCATCATAATGGAGAAGACAATGTGTTTTGCTCTCTTCAGCCCACTGTTATTATAAATAAATATTCTCCTCATAAGTTCCTAGGCTGATAGGAATGTAAAGGTTAAGCTGACAATTTCCCCTATCTGAGGGGGTAATCTGGGGGAACCCAATTATTATGTTGTTTTGTGATGGAGATGCTCTGAAGTTGTGTCTGTTGCTAATACATTTTGCATTAAAATCTAAGTTTGGATAGCAAAAAGAAAAAAAATAATTATTTTCCCTTAGAAAAGCCTGGTCCATTGCCTTCTAGCATCTAGCATTGGTGATGGGAAGTCATAAGTCAGTTTGAGCTTCATTGTAGGTGACTTTGAGGTGATCTTCTGGGAACGTTTAGAATATTCCACTTGTCTAGATGTTTGAAATTCAATATGGTATAACTAGGCTTAGATTTGTTTTTATCCATTGGGATATGCACTCTGGTTCTCTTCAATCTGATGACATGGATTCTTCTATAGTTCTGGAAAATTTTCTTTGGCTATTTCTTTGATCACTTCTTTTTTCTATTTTCTCTGCTTCTCTGTTTGCATTTACATTGGTCATAGGTTGTGCCTCAATGACACTTATGGAATATCTTCTTTTTCTGTTGGGCATTGTGACACTTTAGAAGTCAATAGGAGTCATGTATGCCTGGACAGTGCTTGCCCTTGAGAATTGCATCAATGCCTAAGCTTTTGTAGAGAATCATGTTCAAGAAAACTCATGTTCTTTTTAAAGTGTGTAACCCAGAAGGGAAATGCTAAATGAACAGGCTTTATAAGTTCTCTATTGCTGCTTACCTTTTATAAGTTATCTATTGCTGCTTACCTTTTACTTATTCACTTATATTATTACTCACTGTTTATCTTTTACAAAAGAACTTTTAGTTGCCTTTAAATCTTTCTGGTAAGACCAGGTAGAATGTTTTTACTTTAGCAGCACTACTGAGCTAAAATTTAGGTTGGTCATCTAAATAATTCAATATGGTCTCTGAGGGAAAAATATTTTGTACATCACTTATTATTTTATTGCAAGCAATAAAAACCTATTCTTCCTTAAACAGACAAACAAAGGAAGGAAGACATGAACAATCAAATCTCCAGAAGACCAAGTAGTAGAACAGGTTTGCTAATTTCTGTGGTAGGAATAAATAGGCAGTTTCTCTTTAGAATGCTGACCTCACAATGATTCTCCTCTAAACTTTTTGTTAATTGTTACATTCTGTTTAAGATTCAGGCTTCAAGGAGAGAAACTATTGGTTTAGCTTGATTCACAAGCTCACTTTTTGGGAAAAGATGGGTCTACAATTAACAACTCACAATGAGCACTAAGAATGGTGAAACAGTACTTCCCAAAGGAAAAACAGAACTTTATCATAAAAAAAATGGACAAAAACAGCAAGTGTCCACTCTGTTTTGTGCTGATGAGCCAATGATCAATTCTAACCCACTGGTTTCTTTCTCATGCTAGTGCTGCCGCCTGTATTGGTGCCAAGACACAGCGAATATAACCCCCAGCTGAGCCTTCTGGCCAAGTTCCGCAGTGCCTCCCTCCACAGTGAGCCACTCATGCCGCACAACGCCACCTATCCTGACTCTTTCCAGCAGCCTCCATGCTCTGCCTTCCCTCCCTCATCAGGGCAAGCATTCTCACAGTCCCCGTGCACAGCCAGCTACCCTCACTCCCCAGGAAGCCCTTCAGAGCCAGAAAGCCCCTATCAACACTCAGGTCAGTAAAAGCTGCCGGTCTATGTGGTATACAATTCAACACATTTATGGTGTGAGCATCATAGTTTTTAATCACTGTAACTCATGTTCATGTAGAGTTTTACAGTTCATATGGCAATCTCTTGTGTGCTCTTGGATCCTGCCCAGCCTCTAAGATGATCAGTACTATATCCATTTTGAAGCAGTTATCCTGGAGCTACAACATGCCTTTGCTCTGGTTTTTGGTCCTAATCCTTTGGACGCTGTCAGAAATTAAATGGACTTGAACAGCATTCTTCGGAATTTTGAGGTGTTTTGTTTGTTTGTTCGTTTTGTTTTTGTTTTCTAAAGCCAGTAGCAATAAGCTTATAAAGACTTCTCTAAGCTTATCAGAAAGAGCTGGCCAGAGGGCAGGCAGTATGAGTGCCTCTTTCAACAATCAAAGGGAGTCTCCCCTACAAAAGATGTGTAGGGCAGAGTGAGGCCCCAGTTCCAGACAGTGCATTCTCCCTTTTTGCTATGGGAAGTAAGCACAGCATCTGAAGCACTGACCTAGTCAATCGATATTTGCTGAATTTAAAAAACATGTAGAAGGGAGAGGGAGAACCAAACCCATTGTGATAATTGCATGTACTGTCACACCTATAAAGTAGGTTTAAGTTAGACAATGAAAAAAAGATTTTATGTACCTCAAGAGTGTGAGAAAATATCCTGAGCTAACAAGTTCCTATGGGCACGCATAAATGCATTTGGTGCCAGATGTTGTGATCTGCCTCATTCATTTCTTCATATAGTCCTTTATTTAACAGATATTTATGGAACCCATACTATATTTAAGCATTGCCTTCAGGTGCCAAAAGTAAAATGAAAAGATTAATAAAAATTATCCCCATCCTCAAAAAATTCATAAAATGTGGGAAGGTAAAGAAGTTGCCTCTTCCTCTTAGAGTTATTCCTTTCTTCCTTTTACTCCCTCAAGCAGTACACCTACTATTTTACATATACATCTACCATTTAAATTCATCACATCTACTACTTGTACATCTATTAAACGTATATAAATTTTTGTGTGTCAGTCATTTTATCTTTTATACTAGAGGCCCAGTGCACAAAAATTTGTGCACTCGGGCAGGGGGTCCCTCAGCCTGGCCTGTGCCCTCTCACAGTCTGGGACCCCTCAGGGGATGACCATCTGCTGGCTGAGGCCTGCTCCCCAGGGGATTGGGCCTAAGCTGGCAATCACACATTCCTCTGGCAGCCCGGCAGCCCTCGGGGGATGTCCACTTGCCAGCGGGGAACAGACCTAAGCTGCAGTCGGACATCCTTAGCGCTGCTGAGGAGGCAGGAGAGGCTCACACCACCACCGCTGTACTGACAGCCATCAGCCTGGCTTGTGGCTGAGCAGAGCTCCTCCATGTGGGAGCTCACTGACCACCAGAGGGCAGCTCCTGCATTGAGCGTCTGCCCCCTGGTGGTCAGTGTGTGTCATAGTGACCAGTCATTCCCAGTCTTTCTGCTGTTAGGGTCAGTTTGCATATTACCCTTTTACTATATAGGATAGAGGCCTGGTGCATGGGTGAGGGCCGGCTGGTTTGCCCTGAATGGTGTCCCGGATCAGGGTGGGGGTCCTTCTTGGGTGCCTGGCCAGCCTGGGTGAGGAGCTGATGGCTGTTTTCAGGCTGCCCACACCCCCTTCAGGGTGGGGGTCCCCACTGGGATGCCTGGCCAGCCTGGATGAGGGGCTGAGGGCTGTTTTCAGGCAGGCCAAGCCTGCAACTGAAGCTCCCAGTCTCTCCTTTTTTTTTAAATTTTATTCTGGGATTTATTTACCTTCTGTAATTGAAACTTTGTTGCGGCTCCAGCTCTGAGGCCGGCTGGCTGAAAGCAGGTATCTGGGGTTTGTTTAGCTTCTATAATTGAAACAATGTTGCTTAGAGTGTATCTTAGAGCCCGGTCGAGGCAGGCGGGGAACTTGGCTTCCTCCATCGCTGGGGCAACCAAGCCTCATGTTCGCTTCAGTTGCGTGGCTGCCGGCCGTCATCTTGGTTGGCAGTTAATTTGCATATCACCCTGATTAGCCAATGGGAAGTGTAGCGGAGATATGTTTAATTTCCATGTTTGTCTATTATTAGATAGGATGTTTAGCATAGAGCCTAAAATGCAGAAGTTGCTCAATAGTTGATTACATAGGCATTTGCACCTTGGGAGTAGAACTTCTGGGTCATAGATCCAGATTCTATTGAGTCAGTAAGTAATGACTGAGCCTGCTTAAGTACCAGGCACCGTGTTAGTGCTAGAGATGCAATGACTGATTATGACAATAGTCACTGCCTCTCACCTTCCAGAGACAGTGACTATTGAACACAATTATGTAAATAAGTGATAATGTGATAGAGGCCTTAGCAGTCCAGTCAAGTAATGATAAGGACTTGAACTAAAGAAGGGATGTGGTGACAGAAAGAAGGCAATTAATTTGAGATTGTAGAGTCACCAGGACTTGATGTGAGGATGAAGGCTGAGCTCTGGCTTGGAAGTCATGCACAGAAAAAAGGAGGCAGTTGAAGTCTTGCAAGTGGCTGAATTTACTGAGAAAGGAACACAATAGAAAGAGACCTCATTTGAGGACAGAGCCCTACTTAAGAGACAGGAGGATAATTAATGTTGCAAATGTACATTTACATAAAACACATTGTGCTATAAAGATTTCCTGTACTAAATTTGTATTCCTGCACTTATTAAACTAACAGGTTGGTGTGTGTTTTTTCTCTTCCCATTAATGAAGGACAGACCCCAAGATGTATGTACAAGCTGACTAGTTTCTTACAAAAGGAACAGTCTTTTTAATTTCAAAGCAAATTGAGATTAACTGGCTCAGCTTCTTAATGTAACAAAATTCAACCACTAAAAGTGTGCAATTCAATGGTTTTTCATATGTTGTATTATATTTTTTAAGTTTAATAAAATACCACAGAAAATTTGCCATTTTAACCATTTTTAAGTTTATGTTCAAGTGGCATTAAGTATATTCACAATGCTGTGCAATCATCACCACTATCTATTTTCAAAGTTATTTCATCACCTCAAACAGAGACTCTGTGCCCATTAAACAGTAGCTCCTCATTCCCTGCTTTCCTCCCTGGGTAACTTCTAATCTACTTTTTGTCTCTGTGTATTGAATTTGCCTATTCTAAGGTACCCCATATAAATGGAATCATGACATATTTGTTTTTTGTGTCTGGCTTATTTAATTTAGCATACTGTTTTCAAAGTTCATCTGTGTCATAGCATTTATCAGTTACTTCATTTGTGTGATTGAACAATATTTCATTATATAGGTATATCACATTTTTAAAAATTCATTTATTGATCTATGGATATATTTTTTTCCATCTTTAGGCTATTGTGAATAATGCTGCTATGAACATTGATGTGCAAGTATCTGTTTGAGTTGCTGCTTTTAATTCCTGTGGGAATATACCAAGGAGTAGAACAGCTGGGTCATACAGTAACTTTATATTAAGCCCCTTAATTTTATAGACAGATTTACTCCAGGACCTGCAGAAGGGTCATCTTGCTTTATAACTTTTTCACCAGTGTTACAATTCATTTTCTCAAAGGGAAATGCCTTATTCATGCTTATTCAGTATGGTCAGATGACTACCTGCAGTTCCTGTTAAAACATACATGGTTGCATTCAACCACTGATCTATAGACTCAGAATTTCTGGGGGGTTGGCCAAGAACCTGCATTTATTTACCCATTCATTCATTCATTTATTTAAATATGTTTTTAATTTTTGAGAAGAAGTGAGGGAGGGAGGGAGGGAGGGAGGGAGAGAGAGCGAGAGCGAGCGAGAGAGAGAGAGAGAAACATTGATTAGCTCCCTCCTGTACATGGTCTGACTGGGGATTGAACTCGAACCCTGGTCATGTGCCCTGACCTAGAAGCAAGACAGCGACCTTGTGGTGCATGGAACAATCCTTAATCAACTGAGCCACATAGGCCAGGTCAGAATCTGCATTTTTAACAAGTTTTACTGGTGATTTTCATGCACACTTAAGCATGAGAACTACTTTGAATGGACAATTCAACAAAGGCAGACTGATTCAAAATTTTAAGCTGTTGAACTCTATCACTTATATAACAAACTGACATTAGGAATGTATACAGAAGGAATCAGTTATTCTGAGGTTCTCTTTAAAGAGTTTTTCTTCTGTCTCAGGAGTTTTTATTTTGTAATGAATTAATTTCTGATAAGATACTATCTACTTGATTGCACATCATTTTATTAACCATGATCACATTCCAATCATCTATCTAATCTAATAAAAGAGAAACATGCAAATTGACTGCACATCCGCTACATCCCAAGCCATGACCACCAGCCAATCAGAGCAACTATATGCAAGTTAACCCAAACAAGATGGCGGCTGGAAGCCATGGAGCTGGAGCAGGCAGGAGGCTTGGTTGCCCCAGTGATGGAGGAAGCTAAGCTTCCCGCCTGCCCTGGCCAGCTGTGGCCTCTGCTCAGGGCAACAAAGTTTTAATTATAAAAGATAAATAAATCCCAGATACCTGCATTCAGCCAGCCTCCACTGGGAGCTTGGGTGTCTGGGGGCCGTGGCCAGCCTGCACACAGCCATCAGCCCCTCACCCAGGATGACCACACCCTCATGGGGTGAGGGTCCCCGCTGGGCATGTGGCCAGCCCGCAAACAGCCATCAGCCACTCACCCAGTCTGGCCAGGCTACCCTGAAGGGGCTGTGGCCAGCCTGCAAACAGCCATCAGCCACTCACCCAGGCTGGCCTGGTACCCCAGCAGGACCCCCACCCTGATCCAGGACACCCTTCAGGGCAAACCAGCCAGCCCCCACCCATGCACCAGGCCTCTATCCTATATAATAAAAGGGTAATATGCAAATTGGTCCTAACAGCAGAATGACTGAGAATGACACACATTGACCACCAGGCAGCAGATGCTCAATGTAGGAGCTGCCCCTTGGTGGTCAGTGCACTCCCACT